CGTAATAACCCAGTTTTTATTGGTAAAAGGCATTAAATGAATTTTTCATTTCAATCAACAAACTTTTTACAACAAACCACCTTTTTTTATACCCGCCTTTGAAAATTATACGATCAATAGAGTATTCAAAGAGATCGCTCAAACAACTTTGCAATGGATCATCATTTCGACGTCAGCGAATTATTATTTTACTTCTCACATCAGAAGTTTTTATGAAAAATAAGGAGACCGTTCAAGTATTGACTGGAATGTTTGTTTTGATTGATTGTAATAAATGAGCACTAGTACAATCACTCACTAATCACATCGAGGATGATGTGCGAGAAGATTACAATTACGTCATAAATTGCATATTTTAATTTTCAACAAAAATTTTATATAATATAATTATGCTTGAGCACTATTACATCACTTGCTAATCACATTGAAATTGACGTTTGAAAGCAACCTTAAATTCTATTTTAAGCATCGAATTTAGAATGAACGTTGTATACGTAATAAATAAATAAGCGAATAAATAATACTTATCCGGTAAACTCTTATGATTATGAATTGCCATCTATCTTGTTGTTATTTTTTTTATGTGTTACATGTAATCACGTTTGTTCAAATTAAAGCTTAGCCGATGACTCCCTATCAATCATGATTATAAATTGCCGGATAATGAGCAATTTGTTGAGTATGATAATTCGGCTTAACAAATTTGGTTCAATATTGTATACATAAGCGGATAAATAAATATGTAAGTGAATAAATAAATGTGTATAAATGTGTAAATAAATAAATAAATGTAAAAGCAAATAAATAAATATGAAATAAATGTGTAAGCGAATAAATAAATGCGAAATAAATGTATAAGCGAATAAATAAATGCGAAATAAATGTGTAAACAAATAAATAAATGTGAAATAAATGTATAAGTGAATAAAAAATATATAAATACTTGAATAAATATAAAAGTAAAAAAAAATTTTTACAATTTGAATTTTTATCAAATTTTAAAAAAAATTTAAAATGCCACGAGAACAAAACAAAGGTCCTTGCAAAGTTAAAGATTGTGATAATAATGATGTTACTCGTTATTATAAGTTTACTGTATATGCAAAAGAAAAATCAATTGCAAAAAATACATTTGATGAGTATGATTATTTAGAAATCAATGATCAATTATGTGATATGCACTATTTAATAATTGTAGAGCCTGATAGAAATAATAAAAGAAAATCAGCAGAATTTATTACTAATAAAAAAATTCATGAAATTTTTACACTTTCAGAAGTTATTAATGATGAATGGAAAGATATTACAATTGATATTGCAAATGATGAAGTTATGTTAAGTAAAGATGATTTTATAAAATTAATTAATAGAACAAATCAATTAGAAATATTTCAAGCAGAAAATCAAAATTTAAATAAAGATTTAAATATTTCAACATCAAGTAAAATTTTTTAATTTATTATATTTTATTTATTTATTTATTTTTTTAATACTAATAATATTTTTATTAATATTTAGCTTTAAATTTTGAAAATAAATTGGATTTACTTTCAAAAATTCTTTTTAAAGAGCAAAGAAGATTAAATAATCCAATAGAATTAGATCCTAAAAAATTTTCAGAATTAATTACAAAGTCTAATTTTTTACTTGAGGGATTTTTTGATGAAATTTTTAATGCTATAAGTCCAAAAAGTAGAGATTATCAAACTAGAGAAAATGATAAAAAAATAGCAGTTGGATTTTGTTATCTTCTTGCTGGAGCTCGAAATAAATTTGCAAATGAATTAAAAATAGAAATTGGGCTTTATTTATTAGCATCTGGATGTAGTAGTTCTGCAATAGATACATTAGCAAATCTTGGAATTTCAGCATGTTATAAAACAATTGATGATTATAAAAAAAAAATAGCAAAAGAACATCCAACAAAAATTTCTAATTATTTTACATTTTATGTAAGTAAATTTTAATAATAATTTTATATCTATTTTTATTTTAATTTATTAATTTAATATATTTATTTCTTTAGCAAAATGGTATACATATTTTTAATATTGATGATTATCATTCAATTCATTCTTATAAAAGATCAGATACTACATCATTATCAAATGTATATCATATGGCTACTTGTGTTGCAAAAAGAATTAATAATTGTGCACCAATTCTAGCAACATTTAATAATATTTCATTTTTTAATCCTCTTAATATTGATGCAAGTTTAATTAACAAATATTTGCTTGAAAAATATAATGGAACTTTTGATATAAGTTATAATACTCAAAAATTTCATTGGACTAATCAAAATATTCAAAAATTTCAACATTTTGATCGAATAGAGCTTCTTACAATTCATATTTATAATGATGCAATTTGTGAACGAAAAGAAGAAAGATCAATAGAAAATGTACAAATTGTTGATATTGAAGAATATAGATTAAAATCAACAACAGATTATATTAAAGCACTTTCAATGATAACACAAATACCATCATTATATAAATATTTAGAACATAATATTTTACCAGTTGTAGCAGATTGGCCAGGACAATTATATATTCGAAAAGCTATTACTTTATTACAAAAAGAATTAAATTTTCAAAAAAATAATCTAAATTATCAAATTACTATTCCAACAAATATTAAAAATTTTATTCCAATTTTGGGACCTTTACATGTTTCTTTAAATACAAGACAACATATTTTAATAGTTCATTATGAATTTTTTAACAAATTATATAAATTTGTTTTTGGATTAAAAAAAAAACAATTAGCTAAAACTCCTCAACCTTATAAAATTAATCTTCTTTTAGAATTAGCAAGTGAAAGTTGGAAAAAAATTAGCAATTTAATTATTTTAAAATTTTCTAAATTATGCAAAGATATAGAATATAGAATGCTTATTGATCTTTTGGATAATTTAATTCCAGCAGCTTTGGATATATATGCTATTCTTTTTAGATCTGGATCATTTGAAGAATATATAGAAACAATTTTTCGAATTTGGACATTTGCTTTACGATGGAATAGAAAAAATTATAACAAAGCACCTTTGGCATTTTTATCTGATTATTTTTATTGGAAAGATACAAATCATCCATTTAGTAAAGTATTAGAATCTTATCTTGTAAATTTTAATGATTATTTTGTTGAAAATGTTCATAGTAAGATTCGAGCAAATACAACTTCAAAAGATTCACCTGATACTATAAAAAAACAAACATATATATTAAACCATCATAATTATTCTTTTATAAATTCTTTTAGAAATACACGAAAATATCCATATTCTTCTTCAACTTTAGATATATTAATTCAAAAAACATCAATATTTTTATTAGAAACTTTTCATTCTATTTATAATAATATTGGAAAAACTCAATTTTCTAAAAATAGAAAGAAATTTATATTATCAGCTCTTCAACTAACTGTAGATATTAGATGTTTTCCTACTGGATATCATTCATCATTTCCACCTACATTAAAACAATGTGATGCTTGTAAAAAAGATCTTGTTAAAACTACAGAAGAAAATGAATTTATTTTAATTTGTGGACATGGATATCATTTAGATTGTTATAAAAAAATGCATAATAGATGTGAATATTGTGTACAATATTATAAAAGAGGAATTTTTGATAATGTAAAATCATTTGTAGAAAGATTAGAAGGTAGTGATGATAATTTAAAAGAACTTATAGAAGATGATAATAATGATAATAATGATGATAATAATGATGATGAAAATAATGAAACAAATGAAACACAGTTTTTATCAACACAAGATAGTATTAATTTAAAATATTTAACTGCTCTTAATGATATACATAATTGGTAAATTATTTTTTTATAAAATTATATTATAAAAATAACTAAATATTATTTTAAATACACTTTATTTATGTATTATTTAATATATTTAAATAAATAATTAATATATTATATAAAATATATATTATTTTAAAATATATATTATATTCTAAATTGAAGTCTATTCTAATCTACCCTAAGAAAACTAACACTTATTATGTAAATATAACCTCCTCCCAAAGTTAATCATTTAACAATTACAAAATTCTATATAATCAATTTTAACAATTACAGGTAAATACAATATTTATTATTAATAAACTTAAACTTCTCAAAAAATTTACACAATACCAGTACATAACCTAAATCTACAGTTAACAAAACTAAACACATTACAAAACCAACTATATCTAACATTAAACCCAGATCTCTTACTATTAAAAGCTTGCACTTATTCAAACAACAGTTAATAATAAAAGTTTATTTGAATCTAACATAATAAACAGCTTAAGCAAAAAAATATTTCCAATTACCTTACTCTACAATATTACTTCGTACGGTCCAATAGGCGACAGTATATTTTGTCTTCTAAGGTTGTTCTCAAGCTGCTCCCTCGATGTAATTTGCAAGTAATCGAGATGCTGCTCAATCATTTCGATTAATCGAAATTAATTGAAGTGATCGCTGTAACAATTTTGCTGAAAATTCGTTGTGCGAAATATGGATTTTAAATTTCAGCCAATCGGAGTAACTCTATGAAAAAAAAAGATAGTTGTTAACTCCAGGTTTTTTTGACCGAAATGATAAACACGATTTATTTTTTCAGCCAATCGGATCACTTTATCGATCATAGATGGAGGTGCTTGAGTAAACTTCTTCGGGATTTGATTCTTTTGCATAGTAAACGTTGGCACTCGACTTAGTTTAAAGATGATTTTATGGTAATTTTTTGTTAGTGAAATGTTGTGTTCTTAAAAAGTACTGTATAACATATAAATAAGTTACCCGGGCAATTGATTTATGCAGCCAATCAGACAAACTTCTGCCTATGACATTTTTTTAAACCAAAATTCATGCACCACCTAGCTAATTCAATAAACAGGAAGGAACGTACCCGATCCAAAGTGAATCCCACACATTGTGTAGTCAATTAAAATAGTTTCAGTTTTAATTGATCGCACCATGTGTAGAATTTATTTTGGATTGGGTACGTTCCCTCCTGTTAATTCAAAATAATACTCGGGTCTCACTAGTCTCAACCCTCTGTATATATTAAATGAAAGGTCTAGATCAAAAGAATGACCATCAAAAGGCCTTTGTCTAGTTGAATCTTCACCACACTTCCGCCTTGCTTATTCTAAATGCAAATACAATATATTTTAACCCAATTACTAGATCAAAATAGAATAATTAATAAAAATTCCTGATCATATATAAGCAAAATTCCATTTCGCTAATACCTAATAGCTCAGGATATTTTTATTAATTAATCTGTTATAATCATTACATAAATTGGCCAAATTTTTTAATATCAAAAGAATTTAAACTTACTTTATTAGCCTTCAAAAATCCATCGTGAGCAAATTCATGATAAGGTGGTTACCAGAAAATAACTCATAAGCCATTATTCCAAAAGAATAAATATCTGATTTTTGAGTATAAGGTTTACCTCGCAATACTTCGGTAGCTACGCAAGGCAAAACTCCGTAGATTTTTCCTTTATCTGTTTCATTTGCTGGGTGACATAAACCTAAATCAGTAACGAAGTATCTAGAATAACTTTTCTTTTCATTAATTAGTATGTTTCCTGCATGAAAGTCCCGATTGATCCCTATCAGAATTCTATACAACGTACTTGGGTATTGCCTATAGTTGCCGCCCAAATAGTTATAACTATTGGGGAATTCAGAGTTAACTTTTTTTTCAAAATAAGCGGGAGCTTAAAAGATCTTATTAAATGGGTATAGCCAGTGATAAAATTAGCTTCTTTTGAAATAAATGCGCCATTTATTTTATCTGAAATCAGACGTCGAATCATTAATTCTGAAACCCCCATTGTAGTTATGTTTGAACGGCAACTATAGTATTGCTCCAAAATAATGACCGTGTAAGTACTATATAATAAAATTAACCAACTTATTGTTTGTTACAAAGTTTATGACACGGTATTAACAAATAACTACATTAACAAATAACTATTTTAAAATACTCAACTTCAAATACCTGACGCTAGTTCAATTCTCAACCTTCTGCAAATCTTCCCCTTCTTCTAATCTTAACACTCGTGTTTTACCAATTTTTAGGTAAAGAGTTTAAATCCTTGAAAAAGACCCTTTAAATAAGTAAGCTTACGTTGTGATCACTTTTTTCCATAGTCGCTAATACACACAAATAAATTAAAAGCTAGTACTTAACTATGTAGACTTTCAACCAACATGTATTATTAAAGTCTTCCGACCTTTCCGACATTATCAAGGCCGATAAAAATTTCGTTTCTCATTTAGTTTTCTAAACTTTTGCATCTAATTGCATCTCTTGTTAAAAAACAATAGGTTTAAAGATAAAAAATCGGTTGTTGTTTTATTACGTATTACAAAAAAAAAATTTTATAAGGCGTGACGATTTTTACTAATTAAAGTACTCTAAAAATTACAATTGACTGTATAAAAAAATGATCGTCGCCAATCACATTTATTCCAATTTCAGCCAATTAAAACGAACTTCTGCTATGCT